TTCAGCAGTTTCTATATGGAATGCTCCCCCTTTCTAGGATTACTTGAAAAAATCAAGTCAATTCGAATTACGTAGCTGTAAAACATTGACACGTGTAGTTTTTACAGATTCAGAATCTTCTGTGTGACTTAAAACGGGCAATGGTGCATACACAGGAAACTTAAATAATAAGGGATCACATTTGCAGGCAACATTTGATTAAAAATACATATACACACATGGGGTGCAGAAGCAATTGCTGAGCTAAGCCACCGGCCTGTCACCATCCTGACGCCGAGTGGCTGCTCCCAACACTACCTGTTAAGTTACCTCTTGTAATTTTTAGCATGAAGCCAATTTAAGTATGTCAATATTTTAACAAAAGTTTAAGAGTATGGACTAAAAAACCAACAACTCACGATTCTGGTTACTTTAAAATTTGGTATGCTGTATCACAAATACATTAGTAACTATTCCTAGATGGAAATAAGCAAATAAATGGAATCATTACAAAAAAAAAGATAAAACATTACTAAATGTCCATTTGTACAGATAAAACATAAGCAAACATCTAAAATTTCTTCAGTAAAAAACACATTGTGTATTTTTAACCCTTTGGTATCCAAACTTACATAATTAGGAAGACTTTCTTAAATATATTCTTTAGTTAACAACAGGAAGAAACTATTTTTTAAAAAAGTTTCTACCTGAATAAATTTGGTGCCAAGTTTTCATTTCAAGTTCAACATTACCGAGGACAGTTTTATGCTATAATTGAGCCACAATCTTGTCTACAGACATTAAAACACAAGCTCATCATTCAGGAGTGTGCTATATATGCAACATGCTCTCACTTTAACTCAGTAAGAAAGAAACATCAGGCTATCACTGGCTCGACGTGAACGCACTACCTGTAAAAGCAATGGTTTAAAACAATCAAAATTCTAAACTAAACTGGTCAATAACTTGGGAACACTGTCAGACCACATCTGTTCCTGCCTGGCAGGGAACCTGTATTAGGACCTTCAGAAGGGACATCCCCACCCGCAGCACTGCAGAGAAGGGATGAGCAGGAGATAGCGAGTTAGACAGATAAGCTGTCGTGCAACCAGGAGGGGCAAGGTCTAGGACGTGAGGGCAACTAGAGCTCAGGCATCTGAAGACTGTCTCAGCCATAATTCTAACAAATGTCTTAACTAGACTATTATCCTGAAGGACAAACAAGCAGCAAATGAACTAAAAAACAGAGATTTTAAAAATGATGGCTAATAATGTGAAACTAAGTTCATTTCTACTAAAGACAAAAGATGCAAGTGAATTTCTGACACTAATATTAAGTGCCCTCATCAGACATATTTGTCCTGGTGAAAATTTTGCCTCTAGGCTGGGCTTCAAGGTAAGCAAATAAAGGTGGGTCATTAATGGCCACTGATTTTGAACCATAGTAAGCCAATTCCATTTTAATTAAGAATTTCTAAAAGTTTAGCAGCATTTCTTTTCCTATAGCATTAAAAAACCATCTGTTGGCATCTCATTTTAGGCTTCTGTTATTTCAGACAACTGTGCCTATTTTCTAAATTAGGCAAGAATGAATGCTCTACAGTGAATCACTCTACTTATTATCTCAGGTTAGAGCTTTCTCCAGTTACCTGGAGATCACAGTGAGGTGCCTCCCAAGTTCAAAGTAATTAGGTTGACAAAATGTAGCTCAATTGATCTAGATGCTACGGACTAAATGGCCTCGAAGGAAATTCTCTTCTAGGAAGGCTGTGAGCCTGCAGCTGGGCACCAGCCTTCTCCACACAGTGTGGGATTAAAAGAGACCTGCAAATACGTCTGAGGCTCAAGTAGTTCTAGTGTCCTTCACGTCCAGCTAAACCCCCTTCACTCCATGTTAATATCTAGAAGCCATGTTAATATTTAGAAGACATGGAAACATTCTCCTTTCCCTCTCAAGAAAACAAAATAGTAGCCAAAATTCTGAAAGTGAACCTGCTATTTACAGCATTAGTGTAAGGCCTTCTTATCAGCAGAAAGCAAAGCTTTAAGTCTTTCTCCAAAAATCACACTGACTCAACCTGTCTTATCCCAAGGAAAAATTAGTTGGCAGCTGTGTTAGTACACGCCCTTCTTCTAATCAAAAAGACCAAGTGTGAAGCTGAGGCAACACTGTTACAGTGAACCTCCCACTCCCCAGCAAGAAAGACTGAGGGTGATCACGATTTAACTCTCAGACCCAGATTTAGGCCTTTTACAGTATACAAACATGGAGTCTAGTGACAGAACTGAGACTTGACCCTGTGTGCTTCAATTTTTAGATGTAAATAACAGTAAATATTAATGACTATCGCTTAAGCCCCCAAAAGAAGCTCATATGGAAAAGATAACTTGGCACCAAAACTCAAGTTTTAAATTAAGAGAAGAAAACAAAAGTCTGTTAACATACTCACGTGTGGTGCTAGAAAATTTAACACGATGCACAGGAGCTGAAATGCCTTATCTTAGAGTTGCAACCTACATTAACAAGTCAGTTAACAAACCACTCCAGCCAGACACTTGGCACATTGCCCTCAGCAGCTACCCGTGACCCAAAGAGCATTTAGATTTCGGTCACTTCAGTGAAGCAGATACAGTAAAGTGGGGTAGAAACTGAACAAAATTATTCATTTAAAAATTCTGGTATGAGGAAGCTTTTAATCTATTCATAGAAAGAAAAATGTACACTATCTCCTAAATATTATGAAATGTAAAAGAAAGAATTAACAATCTACCCATTTTAAACTGGAAAAAAAGTTAATCCTTTGCCTCTGTTCTTTAATTTAAAAAAAGAAAAAGGTATTATCTGCTAGGATTTCACTTGACCATCTGAGTGGTATCACAGAGAACAAATAAAGTGGACCTAAACGCCATTATTTAAGGATTTAACTGTTCTATGTTGCTATGACTAGACTAAATGGGGTGAACTATAAAAATGTGCAGAATAGAAAAAGAAGCAATTTTTAATTTGGCTCACTGGCAAAACTGACATTTTATTTAGATGTTAAAACTAAATAACCACATATACTTATAGCAATAAATAATGATTACTTATGTTCTATTTCTAGGCCAAAGACTAAGAATTTTAAGAATCACTTTTGGCTAGTAGCTCAGGCTAAATATTTCTTCTAAAAAAATCTGAAAGCCCAGTCCAGGGAAGTCACCACAGTGCAGGGTCTTGAGGGGGTGGCTCTTATACTGAGATGGGAAAGACTGGCACACGAGGCCATGCTCAGCCACACCTGGTAGAAAAGAGACACTTGAGGGTCCTGTAACCAAGGACAAAATTGTAAATAAAAGATGCTCATTTTTAAAAAGACACCTACTTAAAAAAAAAGAAAGAAAGAAAAAAAAGGACATAATGATAGATACTGATTGGCTTGAAGGATTAAGCTGTCCATCCATTAAAATGAATAAAATTAACATTGTGTAATAAAATGCTTAGGACCGATTAGAGTATTGTTTGGAAAAAATAAGTCATTAATTAAAAAAAAAATCAACTCCTAATTATCCATTATTTCAATAAATAATAACTAAGCAACTTAATTATGTTATATGACTCTGTATTTCATAATCAAAGCTTCTGTTTTAAAAAAAATTTGGATTTTTGATATAAGCACAACTATAAAACTTCGTCTATAACTTTAAAACAAGTCATTGAGAATCATCAATGTTTTAAAATTGTGTAATATACATTAACATTATCAATTACTTTTAGATCATCTTAAGTCACGACTACATATTAACTTATAAGGGTCCCCTGCAATGTAGCAGTTATTAAAGGCCATATTTACAACATTGATTTGCCACATGAAGTAAAGGATTCAAGCCAAACTAATGGCAAATCTTGCCAACGCTTAATGAAACAGAAGCTAAGTCACTGAGACTGCTGACAGCCTCCAGCATAGAAACATGCCTTAAGTGAATCTGTATGGCTTTGCTGCCCAGGGTTTCTGTTCAGAACCTACTAGAATACAGAGTCAAAACAATGGAAACCAAAGGGTTAAACTTTTGTGGGTTTACTTCTCCCGAAGTCTAAATATTCACATTTCCAATTAGAATAAAGTGGTTTCTATTTCTATGAATCATTCATAACACTTGAGGTAAAACAAAAAAGCTGGTATCAATTATCTGGTCATTACAACTCTATAGCTTACACTCAAGATTTAAGGGTGAAAAACTGGATCCATTGTTAATGCTGTGAACTGTAGAAGAAAAATTTTATAAAATAAATCTTTAAGAGAAAGTTAAGACAAACGAATTTAATACCTAAATAAATGTATAATGCCATGGCTAGCTAATGATTTGCAAACAAGATCACATTTCTAAATTAATATACTTAAAGACTATTCTGTCAGATGATAAATGAGCTAGCTGATATAAACGGGGCAACAACAAGGAATTCTACAACAATGCCACCGGTATCAAAGGCTCCCAGCAAGCAAGTCTGAAGTCTTTAATTACTTAAGTTCTACTTTACAGAGAGTCATAAGTTAAGTCACACTAGGCTAATGACTGAGACTGTCCACAGCCTTCAGCACAGATGGTCCTCACATCTGCTAAGAGGAGGAATTCAAAATGTAGAAAAGCCCCTTGTCTTCAAAAGCCAAAGAGGCCTGCAAGGATATTCTAGCTCAATCCATGCTCTGGCAAAGAAAAGCGAAGACCTGCCACAGAGACACATCTAGTTAGTGGCGAAGTCAACAATGTCAACTTTGAAATCCACTCACTTGACTGATCCTTCTGTCCCTAATACATTCTCTCAGGACAAGAATTTGGAGCCATCATGGAACTAAGCTCCTACTGATAATCAGTGGTCAACTCAGACTACAATCTTGCTAACACCAACTGATCTAAAAAACAAAACTGTGTGACTAATTTTAAAAATAAAGATTTTAGGGCTTTTGCTTGCTCTACATGCTGTGGTTTGAATATAAACACCTTGACTACTTCTCTAGCTTGGGAGGATAATTGAAGGCACTTACTCAGTATGAGCTCCGTTCGCCACCAGGGCACTGATGCACTCGAGGCTCCCGGAGCGGGCTGCCTTGTGAATGGGAGTTTCCCCCTCACAGTCCTGAAACACACAACACCCATTCTCAGATCCAACAACATCCTCCACATTTTAAAGCAGAACAATTAGCAAAAGCCAGAGGTCTTCTCATCCATCTGTGACACAAACGAGCTGAGCATTGCATAATTTGAAGCATAATACAAAGGAACATCTAGGTGAAGAGAAGACAAAGACTAGAGAAGGGGTGGTGTTCTCCAAAGCATTTAGCTAAAGGTCAATATCCCAAAATCCTGGGGTCTCTTTAGCAGGGACAGCATGAATGCTCTCAATCGGGATTCACAAATGTTTTAATCCTGGCACCAATGTGTACACATAAACCCCCAATAATTATCCTATGACAAGTTGAAATAGCACATATTATTAGCTAACTTACAGTCCAGCCTACCCATGTTCCTCTACCTATCTACCCTGAATTTTTTCTTGATTTGGAACCATATTTAGAAAAGATGGTTTGAGGTCAAAGGCTCAGGCAAAGACAGAAGGAGACCACCCCAAGGGTCAACACAGCAGGCTCTGCAGTCTAAACAGACTTCTGTTTTAGCAAAGAAGACACAAAGGGGAACAGAGCAGAAGTAAGCAGACTCAGGGAAAACACCCTGGACTCTAACACAGTCAACCAGAAAGGATGGACTCTTTCATACCTGTCCATAGACTATCAGGCAAGTAACAAGTAAACAGTAAATGTAATCAAGACCCAAGCAGTCATCACTTCTGTTAGAAAAATTTAGAATTTTTTTTTTTTTTCTGTCCAGGGAATCCTGAGGGTGAAGCACCCAGAGTTCTTGGATAAATCCACTTCACTGTCACTGGAGCTACCACTGCCATACTTGCCTACAGCCTCACTGAGAGCGAGCCAGTGAGCAACTGGGCATGGTGTGCAGCATTGGGAAAAGCGGCTCCTCCATAAACCCAGTGGCCACCTGAGCTCCTTCTCAATGCACAATGACTCATGAGGAGGACAGTAAGGTGTAGGCCACCCAAGTAAAACAAACATGGCACATTATTTTGCAGAAAACGGAATACGAGAGACTCAAGGGGCAGAGTGGAGGGAAGAGTGTGTACATATATTTCAATCAGGGTCCAAAAGGCTGTGAACAGAATATAAAGAAATCTAACACCCCAAACAACAACAAAAAATTTCTATTTTTGAAAAAAGAAAACCAGCAAACCATGTGACTATTCAAAAAAGTGAACTCTTCCAAAGAGGAGGGGAAGGGAGAGAAGTGGTACATAATAAAGCAAATAAAAACTAGATAAAGGCCAGGCGCAGTGGCACATGCCTGTAATCCCAGCAGCTTAGGAGGCTGAAGTAGGAGGATGTGAATTCAAAGCCAGCCTCAGCAATGGCAAGGTGCTAAGCAACTCATTGAGACCCTGTCTCAAGTACAAAATAGGGTTGGGGGATGTGGCTCAGTGGTCAACTGCCCCTGAGTTCAATCCCTGGTATCGCCCTCCCCCCCAAAAACCCCCTGGGTAAAAATACTGACAAGAAAACTACAAGCAAGATGAAAAACCTGAGTTTGCTACACTATTTCAAAAAGATGATAGAATATTATCAGACATTAAGGAAGACACTGAAAAGCAGAACTATCCAGCCCCTGGTTTGTTACACAAGAAGAGTCTTGGCGGGCACAGCAGACACTGCTTATGACATCTGCAGTCAAGAGAGAGGATACCAAGAGCAAAAGGCCACGTGAAGGGTGTCTGAGTCTCTAGTTCAGACCAATCACATCTCAAAAACACCTAAGTTTGCAATGTGAGTCTAGAACCATGGCAAACTGTGAGAAGAGGGAGATGTGCCAGGAATTCCAAGGGCAGCAGGGCACCTTGATTTTAACAAAGGGAACCTTTGACTTCTGATCCAGATATTAGAAATCAGAGCTGGCTTTCAAATACTGAGCAAAGCTAGTCAAGATGAGCACTAAAAATGGAGCACATGAAAGCTAGCTTCACTTCCTCTTGGGGAAGCCCAACACAGGCCTGCAGGCAGCACACCAGCTTTCTACCATTTCTCAGCTCACCTGACAGATGACCCAGGAAATCTGTATAAAGCATGAGGAAAACGAATGTCAAACTGTTGGCAGCTTACATACCAAAAGGTTAACAGAAGTGGTATGCCAGGCTCAAAAACTTAAAACACAAATGTCAGATAAAAACTATACAAGATAAGCCAGAGGTACACTGGGAGCTGCCAGAGGGCTACTGTGACCTTAGGACAGCAGAGTGCCCATTACAAGAGAGGCCAAGTCCAGCCCCCATGGATTAAGAGCAAGACCATGCCTGAGATTTAGACCACAGCTCTTTACCTTGAAAGATGAAAACCTGTGGCCCTCTAAGAGATTCTAGGGTGCCCAACAATGCCCGTGGGCACTCTGGGTGGATATGAGGACCTGGGGGCTTCTGATCAGGCAAGTATTTCAACAGTGGAAGCTGCTAGGAGAGAGGATCAGGTAGTCTTGTGCTGGGAAGCAGAGCACAGAAGAGGTGCTGCCCGGAGGCACCTGAATGATGTTGCAGGCGCAAGAGCATACCCTCAGCCCACACCCTTTATTAGTTCACTACAGGGAGCTGCTGTGAGACACTAGCTGAAAAGGGAGCTTCTAGATTCAAAAACCAATACTAGGCAAATTCCTTAGACCTCTCTAAGTGACTTGTCCCAGGCCATAGTGCCCTTTCTAAATGCAGAGAGGGAGTCCAGGGTGCAGGTTCTGAGGCAAATGGGCAGCTGTGCTGATGCCCAGCACGGGAGGGTACATGGGAGATAATTCACAAGCAGAAGAGTAGAGCAGCAGCAGCAGCAGCAGCAGCAGCAGCAACACATAAAGGCACGTCTGAGTGCAGAGGAGAGGGAGGTAGTGTGGAAAGAATACAGGTGTGCCTGCCCAAGGCTAGCTCAATGATAAGAACAAGCCTACCACCCAGGACCTCTCCTCCATAGGGTCTTTCCTACAAGTCTCTCACAGAGAACAAATTGCCCAATTATACCCTGCACTCTTTTCCCACTTATCCATGTTTCCAACCTGGCCGAAATACCTATCCTCAACTGCTACAGTTAAGGTGGGTAGCTGCGCCATCTTCAGGAAGGGAACTACAACCACTTTATAACTGCCGTGATCAAGGAAGGTATCTTAGGAAAGACAAAGAAAAGCAAGAGGGAGGAAATAAAAGGATTTTATTTATTTTAAAATTAAAATAATAGGATTTTAATTATTTGGTGAAAAGATGCTGAAAACTCCAGTAAAAATGTGGGCGCATGCACACTTCAGTCTGTGCACATTTCTTAGGATTATTTTATTGGTGCACATTTAAACACAAAGGGCTGGAATCACTTATTCTTCCCACTCAGTAAATGACAGCGACTTTTCGAAAAGTCATCATCCCAAATGTGTGTCTGAAGCTGACCTAGGCCACTCCTTTTGCTAGCATGGATGTGTTTTTAGTAACTGTGTAGTGAAGCGGAAGCAGCTGGAGCCAGGAAACCTGAGCTGGAGGCCAGAGCCATCAATTACCAGTTGTGACCTTGGGCAAATCAACCCTAATGGCAGTAGATGATCTGGTGAGTCATAATAGGCAAAAGCACTCTATGAACAGTATGCAAACTTCTGGAAAGGGTCTATTATCCATAATAACTGAAGGAACACTCCAGTCTACCCTCAGGTAAACACTTCAAACTCATTAATTAAGGCCTCACTTTGAAACAATACCCTGGGAGTAATTATAACTGGGAAAGCAGAGTCAATCCCCTACATTCTTACCGGTTTGTTAATGTTGGCCCCTGCTTGGATCAGCCAGACTAGGCACTGAGGATGTCCTCCAAAAGCGGCGATGTGAGCTGGAGTCTGGGCATAGCGTGTAGTGGACACATTCAGGGTGGCTCCAGCTCTCACCAACTGCATTAAGCACTCCAACTTCGCACACAGCAGGAAGGGATATAAAAACAGGCAAACATGTCGGTATAACATAAAATACCACACAAATAATATAATTTCCACACTGGGGACAAATGGCATTTTTGCTACCCATTTTTTTTTTTTTTTGAGAGAACAAATTAATTCCTTCCTAACACCATGCAAATTTAAAAAGGTATTTAGAAGACATTTTCCTCATCCTTTAAAAAAAAGCTGATGGAAAGAATGCAAAATATTAAACATGCACAAATATTTTGATTTTCCTACAATAGAAAAATCCAAAATCAGAAAAGATCAGCGTGCATTACTCCAAAACTTCTATTAAGACTTGTACATATACAATTTTGAATAATAAGTCATAGTGACTGTAAGTTACAAAAACATACGTAGCTATTTCCACAGGGAATGCACAACTGTACTGCACACCCCCAGCCCCCTTGTGGATTTTATTTTTTCCTGAGACACTCTAAGTTGTCCAGGCTGGCCTTGAACTTGCAATCCTCCTGGCTCAGCTTCAGGATAGCTGGGATTTCAGGGGTGTGCAACCTTTATTTTCAGTCTTTAAAATCTGTGTATGCAAAGAAAAGTATGCAAAAAAGGCAACACAGCTGAGCTCTATACCCAATAGGCAGCTAACTTGAAGACCAGCAAGTTAAAACAAGGATTTGTAGCTAAGCCTGAATACTATGCTGGCCTCTGGCTAAAGAGTACATTACATTCAACAAATTTATCCAGAATCCACCGGGCACCCAGCATTTTTTCAACTGAATCACATGTTCTCCCACACTGTGGAGAAACCTATTTTCTACTCACGGACCACAAAAAAAGCTATCCTGGATGCACCCATTCCCTTGTTTAAAGAGGACCACCAGGACTCTGGTACTCCTTGTGATCACAATGACTTGGGAGGTGGAGGCAGGAAGACTGCAAGGCCAGTCTTAGTAACTTAGATCCAGTCTCCAAAAAAAAAATTAAGAAGATGGGATGGAGCTCAGTGCTAAAGCACCCCTGGATTGAATCCCCAGTACAATTATAGTAATGAGGACAGACCTCACAAGGAGAACAGATGTTCCATGACACCCAAGTTACACACCTGTGAGCTAAACTCTCAGAAATACAGACATTTAAAATGTGGTCTGTTTGAAATGAATGTAAAACTGGGAGTGACGGCAGATTGAACACTGCCTTTATTACCAAGTGAAAAATGAAAAGTATCAACTAGCAATAAGATGAATAGGTGTCAAACCCAATAAAATGGAAGTGGTTAATCTTTAACATTAGTTGAGAGTTCACTGGACCTAAGCCTGTTAAAAACTGGGTTTGAAATTCTGGAAAGTTTTGCTAAATATGGTATCTTGTAAAAAGCAAGGTATAATTAGATATTTTTAATGTTTAGTACTCTGGGAACAAATAAGCCTCACACGGTAACTTGTGTGCCATGGGTATGATCTAAGGATATATGCCTGAAACTGTTAAAAAGAGTGCAACCACTGATAAAGCGTGGAGAAGCTTTGAGTCTAGGCCTAACTTCTGCCCTAGGAGCTGCTTCTCACAGGTGGGAACCCGGGCACCAGACTAGATTTTCCAAGATCCCTACCTTACCTAAAACCCATAAAGTATGGGCCTCTGGTACAACGATAGTCTCCAAAGCAAACATACCACTTCCTCTGTAGAGATAAAAGACCTTTTAAAAATAATTTCGGTCGTTTTTAAAAATTGTGGTAAAACACATATAGCATAAAATTTAATATTTTAAGGGATTAGGACTATTTTTCGTCCTCAAATATAACTGGGACCGCCTTGGGTTGGTAAATAAGTACTCCAAGTGACCATTTGCATGAAGCAAAAGTGTAAGCATTCCAGACTCCACAGACTGTCGTAGTCATGTGCCATCCCAGGGTGGGTAGGATGGAATCATCAGAAAAGTATTTAAAAAAGAAAAAGATGGTTCTTGCCTGCAAGACCTACTCCCTAAAACAGGCAGGAAAAACATCCAAAGTTTCCTAAAGCTTGGTATAAAAATATGCCCTAGCAAGAGCCCTCTGGAGAGAGGCCTGTTAACTGGGAGTGCCCAACAAGGCTGGGTGGCTCTTCCCAGCTCCAGTCTGAGATCAGACGCCACCCCAGGAGATGAAATGGGTGGCGCCAAGAACTGCTAGGTCTCAGGTCTCCTTCAGACGCCTGGCCTCAGCCCGGGCACGGGCCTCCCCCACATCTTCTAGCCCAGGCACCCGTGCCTCTCCTGCAGGGTGCCCCCCACCTCCACATGTGCTCCTTCACCTCTCAGCCCCGGCACCGCGCCCCCCCACCCCCGACCCTCCCCAGAGCCCGGGCACCGCCCCCCAGTCCGGACCCTCGCCTCCGAGGGCACTCGGAGACGCTCACGACTCAGGCTGAGACTCGTCTCTGAGGAACAGCACGACTGCACAGCGAGGGACTGAGCCGCTCCCTCTAAATTTTTAAGGGCCACTGTCTCTCCAGAGAGGCGACGCTCAGCAGACTCTCCGGACAGCCGCCGCCGACTGTCCCCAGCGACCGGCGTCCGGCCCTCCGGAACGCGCCGCACGGCTCCGCTAAGCACGCACGCGCGGCCTCCGCACCACCGCAGCGCAGTCCGGCCATTCCCTCCAAAAGCAGTCCCCCGACGAAGCTCCCCGCCGAAGAGACTGTGCGGCGGACCCCACCATCGCATCTGCCAGGGCCCGGCCCGCCTCGGGAGCTTGGGGGTTTGAAACCCGGCCAGCAGGACTAGCCGCCGCACATGCGCCCTGGGCCCTCGAGGTGCCCACCCCGCTTCCGCCCGGCGCTCCCGGCACGCCCCGCGGCCCCCAGGAGGCCACCCCGCGCGCCGCCGCACATGCGCCCTTAGCCCCTAGGGGCGCAGGCCTGCCGACCCCGCTTCCGCCCCGCGCTCCCAGCACGCCCCGCGCCCCCGCCCTCTCCAAGCCCCCACGGGAAAGCAGCGGAAAATGGCGCCTTAAAGCGCCCGTGCCCACCTTGCCGAAGTGCGCGGCCCAGTGCACGGGCGTCCAGCCGTAGAAGGAGTCCTCGGCGGCCAAATGAGCGCGCGTCGTCTGCTGCAGCAGCGAGCACAGCGCGGCCAGGTCTCCGTCGCGGCAGGCGCGGTGCAGCGGGAAGCGAAGTGACAGCAGCTCTTCGCTGGAGAAGCCCGCCTCCACGCCCGCGCCTGCTCCCGCCGCCGCCATGGTCCGTCGCTAGAGAGCGCGGGGCTGGCGAGCGAGAGGACGCTTCGGTGAGAGCCCGCGAAGCCGCCGCGGAGCACAAAGGATTAAGAGCAGCGCCGCAGCCTCGTCCTACCGGCTGCGGAGCTGAGCGCGAACTGAAGGCAGGCGGGGCCTGCGGCGGGGCGGGGCCTGCCGCGGCGGGGACTGGGGCTGACACCTGGGACTACGGGGCGGGGAGGGGCGGGGCCTGCGCCTGGGGGCGGGGCCTCCCCGCGCCGCGCGACCGCGGGAGGCTGCCGGGCTCCAGAGCGGCTTGGCGGCGCCGGGCCGCGGCAGCGCCTCCTGAGGCCACGCCGGCTCCGGGGTTCGCGTCCGTGCGCCCGGCCAGCCAGTGCTCCCGCGGCGTCGGAGCTCTTCCCGTCGGTGCTCTGGGGCGCCTGCGGAGAGGTTCTCGAGGTGGATGGTGGACCCCAGGCGGTAGCGCCTCGCTCCGCGTCGCCGGGAATGCCTCCTGGACCGAGCGCCGGCTCCAGGTCCGTTTCCCTCCCGCAGACGCCACAGATGTGTGCGGCATGAATAGGGGCTGCGGGGCCTGAGTTAAACGTCTCTTGCTCCATAGTCTATCAGGTGAGGCCAGAAAGAGTATTTTAATAGTTTAAGCAATACTTTAAGGGTGGAAATACCTGTAAACTCAGCTCTGTTCACTCTACCATTCATTTTTCTTTGCAAATGACTTTAATTAGAGTAATTCTTTAATATCTCTCCTCTCACAATGATTTCCTCTCTCCTTAAGTGCCCCATTTTCCAAAAGGACATAAGCCTACCTTCCCATTTGTAATAATGAGAGGGAGGGACTGCTCTTCTTTACCCTACATTCGGGGAATGGGGTGAGTCTGAGACTGAAAAACAGGAATTTGCCGAAGAACAAGCTACTTTGCCTGTGGCAGAGCTAGAAATCAGACCCAGGCCTAGTTTCCAACACACCACTAGGTTTTGCTCTTTTAAACCTTTGATTTATTTTGCATAGACAATATTAAAGCCTGACCAGTCAAACATGTTATAATGATAGGATAGTTTTTCAATTAAGATTGCTTTCTGTTTTCTTCTGACTCTACATATTTATATAGCCGAACTGAAATAAGCCTACATATATATGATGGTGGATCCTCAAGAGCTCCCTTTTGGGGATCATGGATACCTTGTATCCAGTCAGTACTGTCAGATACTAATGTTCCAGTTGGTGGTTCCCCCAAGTTTTACCCAAATCTTATGATTATTACTGTTCAACTCCAGGACTGCAGATGCCCCAAGGGTATTATTTGCCAATCCCAAAAAAGAACTTAGAGGACTCAACAGAGAGGTTTTGGACTGTGTTACTTGCTTTTCCAGCCTGTGTACGGTGGAAGCCAGCTGGTTCCCACAAACAGGGGAGTGGACAGGACAGGTCAGTTGCTGCACAGGTGAATTCCCTTCTTCAATTTGTGAGTACCCTCCTTCACAACAGGGTCACTGTTTAGATCCTCTCCAAAGGACTGGAGACAAAGGAAGTGACCAGTTCCCCTCTCCATTTCCTTCAGTATTGTGTTCTTTTCAGACCTTTTTATCACACCGGAAGCTTTCCTAAGCACTGATTAGTGTTTACCCCAAAATTAGAAATCATAGATTTGTCTTAGAATTCTTGTTTCGAAAAAGCAAGAAAAAAAAAAAGTAAAGCAGATTATAACCATATCCTTTGTCTAATTTGACGAAGCAACCAGAAATAAGCAAACAGGTGTTTGAAGAAAGACTCCTGATGCACAATAGAAGACAATACTTAACATTCAATATGTTAAAAAAAAAACAACCTTCCCCCTTTAGAATTGGAATTGTATTTTTCCATAAAGGATTGCATCGTGTGAAGGCTTACTCTGTGAGGCACAGCTCACAGCTCTGGTGTACAGCCCAAAGTCAGGTGCCTCCTGTGAGGGTGGCACAGCATGGAAAGAGTGTGTGGCAGAGCACCTGCTGCCATGTGCCAGGAGGCAGAAAGACAGAGACTGGGGTCCACAGTTCCCTCGAGGGCACGCCCCCAGTTCCCTAAGGACTTCCTACTAGCCTTCACCCTCCTAGGGGGCCACCCTGGGGACCAAGCATTCGACACAGGGGCTTTGGAATGTATCCCATAGCAGGTAACTGACAAGAAAGGAGAAGGCAGCAGGCTGTGGGTGGAGCAGGTGCCTAAAGGAGGGAAGTCGGTAAGGGAGGGCCTCTCCTCGGGTGAGGATGGGACAGGTGACTTCCTGACGCATGTGTGGCATGTGGGACTTTGAGCCACCATGCAGTCATTTGAAATGTTTCAACTAGAATGACATCAGTTCCCCCCATGTCATTGCCATAGGGAAGTCCCTAGCTGGTCATTGCTACTATTAAAATATGCCTCTGGATCCACTGGGAGGGGTGTGGACGCCTTCATGGAGCAAGCTCAAAAGTCCCCAGTTGCTATCCAGAGGCTCAGATGGGACTGCTCAGCTCTCAGGTAGAAGTTGCTGACCTGCCGCTAGCTGATCAGGTACCTAGTGCCATCAAAGGGATTCTCATCTTCCTGCAGGTACCACTCTTGTATTTGCTGCATAACAACACGCTGGAAACAAAACACTGGGCCTGCTGGGACTTTTCATGACCTGAGATAAAGGAATCTTAGCAGTCTCCTTCTAGAACAGAAATTGGGTGACATTAAAACAGCCCTTGCCTGTCATGACCTAACAGCATGTCCACTGAGCAAGTGTTTGCACTACAATGGTCTCTAGCAGGAACACACATGCTTGATTGTCTTCTAGAACCTTCTACCACCCTTCTGGGTCCTTTCAAACTCTAGAGTAATCTCAGAGTGGCTGTTGGGCATTTAGGGAAGCAGTCAGAAATGGGACAGAGGCCAAAGAAAACAGCCCTGCCTCCTCCGCATGGAGGGAGGCCCAGGGGGTCACTGCCAGGTCAGTTTCTCATTATGCCAGCCTTTTTTTCCATTCTGTTTCAGAGGGCTGGGTCCATATATTTGGAGAGAATGTGCAGGCCTTCTCTGCTGGAGGGAGTTTTGTGGCCTCTCTGGCTTAGTTCCCACCTTTATTTAAGGAAGATGATAATTATCTTCTCCTGGTAAAAGAGTCAATGTCAAGGTCAGATGTGTTGAGAGCCACAGTTTAGTCGGAATGAGCCTGGCATTTTGCTAGAGGGAATGGTTGAAAGATGACCCTGCTCCAGGAATAGGGCGGCTGGGATTAGGGTGGATCCTGCTGCTGAGTGGAGGGAGTGTGTTCCCGGGAAGTGTGTGTAGAGTGCTGGTGAGAGTTCGGGAATAAAGAGTTGCTGTTTGAACCTACAAGGCTGTGTGGTGGCTCGGTTATTTATGCCCAGCCAGACTGCGGCACAGATGAGGAAAGGCTTGCAGGCATGAAAGGGATTTTTAGATTGTAAACATGAAGGTTACTAATAACTATCCAGAGTACCTTTATTAATTTATACTCCCACTGGTGATATATAGAAACCTCAGTTACCAATTCTTTTCTGCCATTAGGTATTACTTTAGATAGTTTTTTGTTTTTCTCAAAGTCATATCCTCCAGGGGTTTGGTTGTCAGGATTCGGCAACACTTGGGGTGTGAGGCAGCTACCGAGCATGTCCCTGGTGCCCACTCAGTTCCTCTTGCCCTGCTTCTTGTTCCAGTGTCACTGGGATGTAGTCCCTGCTGGGTGCAGCTGGTGCTGCAGCCTTCTGACCTCTGCTCCCCTGCTGGGAGCCATTAGCCAAGTAGGTATGACAATTTCCTTGCCAGCGTACCCCATGTTGCTTAGTGGAAGGACTCGTGGAAATAGGACATTTTGCAGTGACATTGCAGTTAGGTGACCTTGCTCAAGGACCAGGGCGGATCCGGGATTAGGGTGTTCCCGGTTTAGGATAATCGGGTTTAGGGCGTTCCAGGTTTAAGATTATTCCTGCTGGGAATAGGGCGTATCCTGCTGCCTGAGTTCCCCTTGAGTTCTCACGGGATTCAGACAGTATTTTTTGGGAGACAGAAGCCCAGTGGAGGTGGATTTGGGCAGAGAACATGGATTTCCCCAGAACGTGATTGTAGAGTGCCGGTGTGAGTTCGGGAATAAAGAGTTGCTGTTTGAATCTACAAGGCTGTGTGGTGGCTCGTGATTGTGTGCCCAGCCAGACTGCGGCATTTGTGCCCAGCCAGACTGCGGCACTCCCCAGCCCCCTCATCCACAGTGTGGAACAGCCCTTTCCTCTTAATTCTCCAGAGTACAGTAGGGAGCAACCTATAACTTTGATCAACACTTACTTGAGGTTTGAGTACACTGGCAAGGACAGGCTGCTCTACAGAGAAAAGCTAGGAGAGCACAGTGTTCAATCCCAAGGGCGTGGCAGTCCAAGGTCCAGTCCACTGGGCAGCCCACACACAACTGCTCCAAGCAGGCCCAGAGCAGTGAGCAAGAAAAGAGGTGAAATTAAGACTCTACCTCACACCCACTGAAAAATCTGTTCCTCATGGATTACACTTAAATAAGAAAGCAAGATGGCAAACAGTTGAGGAGAAAACAGCGAACATGTTATGACAGCAAAGGATTTCCTAACACAGAAAACACAGCCATTAAAGAAAAAAAAAAAAGCATATTTTACTGTAATTAAAAACTTCATTTTGACAAAAGTTACCAGAAAGTGAGAGACAAGCTACTGAACTAAGGAGAATTGTTTGCAAGTCACTTTAACAAGTAAAGGATTTGTATTCTTTATATATAAATATATAAAGAATACAAGTATATAAAGAGAAAAAGATGGATAGCAGAAGAAATGCTCCAAGGTTATTGATAGGCAGTTCACTGGAAGGAAGCTCAAATGTCCAATAGGGAGGATGCTCGTTCCCCTGTAATTGCTCCTGCCCTACTGAGTGCTCTCACCCACAACAGTTCTACGCCTCAAAATAACCACAACCCTCCTTTGCCACTCATTCTCCTCTGTCACTGCCCATCTCTCTGCTTCCTTCATAGTCCCGCCTTGGAGAACCGGGCATGGTCCTTGCTTTCTGTCCTTCCCCAGCCCCTTCCTGCTTGCCCTCAGCCACCAGCATTCCCAGAGAATAGCTCCAGTCAAATTCATTGCAGACCTTTAAGTCT